GGGGGGGTTGTTGGTATGCTGTTGTTTTTTTAGTGGGGGGAGGGGGGTTGGATGTGTAGGGATGACAGAGATTTATACAACTCAACATGGCATACATATTATAACAATGGGTTAAGGGGTGTACTTATATAGTTCCCAAAGCAAAAACAAAGTGTTTCCTGCTTTATGTTTTTGTACGATAAATTTATATTTTATCAGTTTTGAACAAAAGTTTGTTTTTCAGAATTCCAACTGTGTCTTAGTGTATGAGAAACTTTTTGTAGTTGTTTTTTTAAAATCTTTGTATCACGTGCTGTTGATGCAATCTAACAATGACCTCTCCCCTCACGTGTCAGCCCCTGTTCCTGTACCTGGCCTACCAGTCTGTCCACTCACCCATGCAGGTGCCAGGAGAGTATAAGAGAAAGTACGACCACATTCAGGACTGGAAGAGACGGTTTTACGCAGGTTTGTGATATTATGTCGTTTATCCCCCCACCCCTCCCCCCCTTTTATTACAACATTCCAATCTCTTTTTCCCCACCCCCCTCCACCCTCACCCAATTACCCCATGCTTTAGTAAAACACCAACAAAAAATGTAATATTACATGTGAGGCAGCGTGGTGGAATCAGGTTCTCGTCAATTTTTGGGCACATGGAGTTATTGGTATCATCTTAAAGCTTGTTCACTTGTCTTTTTTTGGATAAAAAAGATATCCGTTTATCTGAATACAAGTTGAGATATTTGAGAATGAAGGAGGTGGGGGTCACCTGTTTTCAGAGGTAAAATTAGAGAGAAAATGGCCGCCAAAGAGTAGTTATTTCCTTAGCTTATGAGTTCGTGGTAACTGAAAATTTAGATCTTTTCTGCCTTCAATCAACGTTTTACAGAAACATCCACACAGAAATGAGTTCTTTAACGTGCATGAAAGGTGTTGAGGCAAAAAAACAAAAATTTGATAAAAATTCACAAACCTGCGGAAAAATGCAGGTTTCTTCACTTTGATTATTTTGACGAGAGCCTGATTCCACCACGCTGCCTCACATATAGTTTTCCCTTTTCACGAGTGGATTTTATTAAAATCATTTTATTTCAGAAGAAGTAAAACACATGGTTATGTTTGTGCAGTTACAGGTGGGTATTCAGTATTTTGACCGATCACTGACATTCTGGATTACGGAAAGCATCAGTGCGGCTACTACATTGTAGTTTCATCCGGCACTTCGTGAATATCTTTTTATTTCTGTACTCGTAGCACAATGTATTGTTATTATTTCTACATCTGATTCCGTAAAATAAACAATGCTTGCAGACAAAATAAGTTACTTCTCGGATTTCAGCCTTATGGAAATAGGTACATCACGTTAATAGGGGAAGTTTTTACAACTGACAAGTATGAAATAATAATATGAAACAATAAAAGGCATGTTCAACTTAAGGAATATGACATCAAAAGGGAATGTACAAATGTGACCCTGCCTAGTGTCCATTTTTGGCCAATATATCGATTTGTGGATTGCGAGAAGTAACTCATTTTGTCAACACGCCTCACATTAATGGATCAATAAGCATTTAGTCTGACTACCAGCCGTGGGTGGTTGGCGGGTGCTCTGGTGTAGTTTGCTTCTTCTTTCCTACCAAACGCCAATCGTCTTTATCTCTCCTCCTTCTCTTTTTTGTTTGTTATTCTCTTGTAACACTTCTAATCTTCGGCACTTATATTACCTAATTGTGTTGCAAATGCAGTAAAACTCTAACTAACTAAAACTAAACTAATTGACTGCACTTATATGACCTTATTGTATTGCAAGTGCCGTAAAACACTTACTAAAACTAAAAGAGTACCCGCCTGCCACTGTCTGCGTCTGCAGGAATGGTTGACGCCATGGACGAAGGTGTGGGCAACCTGACCAAGGCGCTCAAGGACAAAGGTCTCTGGGACAACACCGTGCTGGTTTTCTCTACTGGTGAGTGCATCGGCGTTATTCATTCATTCATTCGTTCATTCATTCATTCATTCACCATTTCATTCATTCATTCATTCCTTTTTTCCACCATTTCATTCATTCATTCATTCATTCATTCATTCATTCATTCATTCATTCATTCATCATTCTCACCATTCCATTCATTCATTCATCAATTCATTCATCATTTCATTTATTTAATAATTAATTAATCATTCATTCATTCATTCATTCATTCATTCACTCACCCATCCATCCATTCATTCAGCCATTCATTCTTTATTTAACTATTTATTTACATAATTGTATTAATTAATTAACTTTAAGGGGGAGACTAATTCAGACTGAGTGAGATATGCGGCGTTTCATCAGTTTTATAATGGTACTTGTTCGATAAGATCTTTCCCCAAGCGGGAATGGCACTCAGGCCTACAAAACACAGCGACGAAGACCCTCAGACGCCGGACAGAATGGTTGTGACGTATTTCTTGTCTAATGCCAAACGTATTCATTAAAACAGAGAATACCAAAAATAGCCAGTCAGTACAGTTTTGTTGTTGAAGATACATGTATTAGGACATTTATAAATTATGGTTATCACATTTTTCATGATATCAAAATCTATGATATCTGACTTACCGTTTGTGTAAATCAATACTTAAAAATGTATATCTACTGCTATTTTACCAATATGCGCTGTTAACTTATGAACTTGTTGAAACATTCCCAGCCATGTTGAATTAAATTGTGAGGCGGCGTGGTGGAATCAGGCTCTCGTCAAATTTTGGGTACGTAGAGTTATTGTTATCATCTTAAAGCTTGTTTACTTGTTTTTATTTGGATGAAAAAAATATCAATTTATCTTGAATACAAGTCAAGATATTTGCAAATGAATGAGGTGGGGGTCACCTCTTTTCAGATTTAAAATTAGTGAGAAAATGGCCGCCAAAGATTAGTTATTTCTTTTGCTTAAGAGTCCGTGGTAACTTTGAATTTACATATTTCTTTTTACTTTAATCAACGTCTTTCAGAAAAATCCACTTAGAAATGGGTTCTTTAATGGGCATGAAAGGTGTTGAGCCAAAAAACAAAAATTTGATAAAAATTCACAAACCAGCAGAAAAATGCAAGTTTCTTCACTTTGATTATTTTGACGAGAGCCTGATTCGACCACGCTGCCTCCCAATTACTTAGTGTCGGAAGGAAAAGTATCGAATGAAAATTTTCTCTGCACTCACATGTTATTTTGTGTTCTTCACTCCCCCCTCCCCCAACACCCATATCTCTCCACCCCCGAATCTCCTCCCTTGGTTATAAACGCGCCTCAAACTCTCTCCCCCCCCCCCCCCCCCGCAATCATCCCTCTCCCCAACCACCCCCAAATCCTTCTACCCCCGAATTCCTTTCCTCCCTTACCAACCGTCCCCCAACCCCTCAACCCCCCAACCTCCCCCTCCCATAATCCCCCACCCTCCCAAATCCCCCCCCTCCCGCAACTCTCCCCCAAAGACAATGGCGGTGCTGTGGGCGATGGAGGCAACAACTTCCCCCTCCGTGGCGGCAAGGGCTCTCTGTGGGAGGGCGGGATGCGCGGGGTGGGTTTTGTCTCCGGCGGGAAACTGTCAGCCAGCGGATCGGTCAACCGAGAGCTGATCCACGTCACTGATTGGTTCCCCACGCTGGTGGGCCTGGCACAGGGCGCCCTCAACGGAACGAAGCCTTTGGACGGAGTTGACCAGTGGGACACCATTAAGTATGGGCCTTTCTCAGACAAACACATTTTTCAACAGCTTGTAATTCTCGCTGCCTGTCTAAAAGAACCTTTCTCAAGATTGTGCATTATGGCATTATGAAGATAATTATTGCATTGTAAGCCTTGGAAGATCCCTACAGTTGAATTATATTTATTTATTTAAAGTTGTGTTCTAAGTGTTGCACATATTCCAGAGTTTTTGCACTTTACATGGGTCCTATTTTTAGACATCACGTATTTATGGTGTATACACAGTGATGGGTTTACAGTATATTCAGTTAATAACGAATACGAATGAATGAATGAATGGATGGATGAGTGAATGAATGAATGAATGAATGAAAACATGAATGAATGAATACATGAGTGAATGAGTGAGTGAATGAATGAATGAATGAATTGAGTGAATGAATGAATGAATGAATGAACAAACGAATGAATGAATGAATGAATGAATGAATGAAATGACACGTCTTTGAGCTAGTACACCAAGAATTGTGTGTGTTTTCCCCACAGCCGCGGAACTCCCAGTAAGCGCACGGTGTTACTTCACAACATCGACCCCCTGAACCACAAGGTAGGCGCCCCCTTGTACCACGACACTTTCGACACACGTGTCAAGGCGGCTGTGAGGGTGGGCGACATGAAGCTCATCACCGGAGCTCCGGGAAGCGGAGAATGGGTGCGGCCCCCTGGAAGAAAGCGGGCATCTGGTTCTGGTGAGATTCCCCTCCCCTCCCCCTTTCAACCCAAACCCACAAATCCCTCAACCCTTTCCCCCATCCTTACCTTTGTTGTTCTAAATATGTCCCTTCTCGGTGGGTATTCGCTGCTTTCTCAAGGAGTCTGGTCTGCCTTGTATCGTCTTTTCTGTTTAATATCATCCTCACCGTCTTTCATCAAAGATCGTGTATAACAAGATAGTTCACGCCTCTATTTGAGCCAATTAAAAAAAATGTGTCCTCAACATTCTGTGGCGCCCTCTTCGAAAAAGCGTGGACAATGCGAACATAGTTACCCTAATTGTGTAAAAAACAAAAAACAAACAAACCAACAAACAAACAAACAAACAACAAAAGTGAAACTATTAAGCTGTACTATTCTTATTCTTTTTCTGGAGAAACGAAAGAGAGCTTCAAATCAAAGACTGCAGCGCCATCTAAAGAAATGCGCGGACTTACGCGGACACTTTTTTGGCTGAGTGAACTATCTTGTTGAGTACGATCTTTGCTTTCATCGCCTGTTCTGTCTCGTGTCGTCTTGTAGGTCTGATGTTGTCTTATCTTCTTGGCAGCGTTTTCTATTTCTGGCACCATCTTCTCTGTGTGGCTCCATCTTCTCTGTGTGGCTCCATCTTCTCTGTCTGGCTCCATGTTCTCTGTGTGGCTCCATCTTCTCTGTCTGGCTCCATCTTCTCTGTCTGGCTCCATCTTCTCTGTCTGGCTCCATCTTCTCTGTCTGGCTCCATCTTCTCTGTCTGGCTCCATCTTCTCTGTCTGGCTCCATCTTCTCTGTCTGGCTCCATCTTCTCTGTCTGGCTCCATCTTCTCTGTCTGGCTCCATCTTCTCTGTCTGGCTCCATCTTTTCTGTCTGGCTCCATCTTCTCTGTCTGGCTCCATCTTTTCTGTCTGGCTCCATCTTTTCTGTCTGGCTCCATCTTTTCTGTCTGGCTCCATCTTCTCTGTCTGGCTCCATCTTCTCTGTTTGGCACCATCTTCTCTGTTTGGCATGGGTTCTCTGTCAAAATTGTATACTACACGAGAGACGTGAAGCAAGATGTATCTTTTTATTTTCTTTTTTCAAAAGACCCGAAAAGGGCGAACAAATAAATGACTATGACTCAACATCATGAACAGCACATAGGCCTGCATAATAATACCATAATTATCAACTCAGAATGTCGTAATTTATAATACATGTGGCTGATAATATAAACCAGAATACAGTATAAACTTTGTTTCAAACGAACAACTAATAGATTTTAGATTTATATTCACATCTAGATCGAATTCACTTCCAAGTAGATTTCTTATATTATTGTACGAGCCAAAATCTCGGCTAAATGTCATACAATCATTTTTAATAATCGAACCAAAGATTACAAGAACTAGACCTTTATTCTTGTCCTGATCTATGCAAACATCTAGCTGATGTGCGGAGAAAAAAAAATACAGATGAAGATAATACGAAAATAAACCCGCTTGGATTCAGTAAATTAAAAGTAAGTTAAATAATAGCAATAAGAGTAAATTGAATCTCTATTTGAAACGGTTACTTGTCAGACCAAGTATGCACGTAATACACTCTTGAACACAATCATGTGCACTTTTTTTCTAATAACCAGATTGAGCCAGTCTCATATAAATGGGCTAGTGGATAATACACACAAAAAATAATAATAGTAAAAAAACAGAACGAGTTAGAATTCATTTTTCAGTTTTCCGTTTTCTGACGACATCATGTCACGGGCATTGAACCACCTCTAACTGACCCCATCGTGTGTCGTTGATTCCTACAGGCCACCATACGTCAAATGACAAGAACGTGTGGTTGTTCAACATCACAGCTGACCCGACCGAGCACCACGACTTGTCTGACCACATGCCGGGCACGGTCCGGACCCTCCTGGGACATCTCCAGCGGTTCAACCAGCACGCTGTGACACCACATTACCCACCAGAAGACAAGAGAAGTAACCCCGCCCTGCACGGGGGAGTCTGGGGACCCTGGCAGTAGTCCCCCTTTGGTGGTTTCTTTGTGCTGCTCAAACAAAGACTTTCACTGGAATGTTCAAGAATGTCGTACTCTGACGTAGTTCTGTGTCAACCGGAGGCGCACTACTTTTTGACATAAAATAGCAATGAAATAAAGGACAAAGAGGGAGAGGCTGCGTGTGAACTCAACCATAGAGAGATTGCTATAATAATAATACAGGTCGATGATGAAAAAGTTTGGGCAAAACAAGTTAAAAAAAAAAAAAATTCTGGAAATTACAGTGCTAATTAAATAAAACGAGATGAGACAAGTAAAATCTTTACTGACCAGATTCGGTTAGATTTCGTCTATCGGGTCAGGTTTTTGCAGAATCCACATATATGTATATATAGTTCTAAGTATTCTTATGTTTTCAGGGGAGGTTAGAATAACATTATACTAATACATAACAGGGGAAGTAACTTTTATTATTTACAGCAAGGTAATTAACCAAGTGTATTATACTTGCATAATGTCCAATATCACTTTTTTAATGACATGCTTTTTAAAAGTAAGTACTCCTGTGATTTCTAAGGTGTATTGTTGTAATACGATTTCTTCTAAAAAATAATGTATGCAAAACTTCAAAAGACGATGCAAAAAATAATCCGTTTGTTTTGTTTTTGTTGTTTTTAATTGTGTATTAAAGTGGGAATTCAACTGCAAAGGGATGTAATTATTCGAGGATCATATTGTGTCAGTTTGTGAATTAATTGTTTGTGTTAGTGCCGCCCCCCC